GTCTTCACAGAATCAATCCGGGGAATAGCTTGAAGCTTTTGGAATTACCCGATACAATCAGAGGCGCAACGGTGTCACACGTTCCAACTTTCCTTAGAGCTACCGGTTATATTAACTCACACCAGAAAAATTACAAGAATCCCAATACTGTATGCAGTGTTGCTGGGCGTACGGGTAAGTAATTCCTTTTGCAAAAACAAGTTAGGGCTTAATAGCTTTAAACAAGGCCAATTCGCCAAGCATAGGACTTCCAGTAGGTCAGAGAAAGAAATAAGGCAGGATTAAGGGCAGGACGCACCGAAATAGACCGTGGGCAAAGGCAGCAATAGAAATAGCTGCTGCATCCAGGAATCCTTGAGAGACAGAAACTAACTTGGTTTCCCCCTCGTTCGTGCCAGACACCCAGGAAGCAGCCTTTAAAAACCCCAAACCGGGAGTCCCACATATCTGGCGATCACTGCAAGATGAAACCCTTGGAGAGATAAAGTAAACATTCGAGGGAAAGAATCAGGACGTGGAAAGAGCCCCTTTACAATTCACACTCGGGAGCGGGGAGAGCAAGAGAGAGCGAGCGAAACACAAACACAATCAGGAAGGGGAGGGGGGGGGAAAGGCAGAGGGAAAAGGCGGGGCTGGGGGCGAGTGCAGGAGGCGACCAGCCTACAACGATGAAAGTTCGCGCGGGGGGGGGGGGGGGGAAAAGGGGGCACGGGGGGGGGGGGGGGAGAGGAGCAGCCAACCTGTGGGGCCCCAAACTGGAAGCAGCGCCCCCTCCCCATAGGGATTCAATAAAGGCGGGGAAGGAAGGTAAGTGGGGCGAATGTCGGGCGCCTGGGCGGGGGGGGGGGGCAGGGAGCCTAGATACGACGACCTCGGCTGAGGCACCTGTCAGGCAGCAGCAGCAGCAGGACCAAAGAGGAGAAGTGGGGCCTCACCTTCACGCTCCTACCGCCAGCAATGCCGGCCGAGGCATAGCCCAGGTGCGAGGCGAAAGCGAGAGAGGCACGCAGCTCCCGCTCCAATTCCGGAGTTCTCCCACCAAGAGGCGACGAAGGTGGGGAAGAGAGAGAGAGAAGCTCCTCGGTTTTGCCGCCGCCGCCGCCGCCTAGCGAGAGTCAGTCAAGCACGGCAACTTCGGCCGCCTCCCTCCCGTGCCGGATTCCGGCCACAAAACCGCCGTCCCACTAGCCGCCCCGCCCCCATCCCACCCCCCCACACCCCGCGCGCATGTGCACAGCAGCTTCGCCCGCCCTCCGAGCCTCAAGCCCCGCCTCGCAAGGGCGCGAGGCGTGATTGGGGCGGTGCGCCACTCCCGGGCCGCGGAGCTTTGCGTGACGTCGCCGCCGCGGCCCCGAACGAACTTGCCCCGCCCTCGGCAGCCTCTCTCCGGCTTTGCTAGGTTGAGCGACGTCGCCGCTGGGTGTCTTTAGGTAGCTGAGTGCCCCGTCGGTACAAACTGGGGCGGTGGCATTTCTCATAGCTGTCTGTATTTCCGTGGTGACGGCAAGCTGCAAACCAAGTTATACCTCTTACGCTTTTAAGGTGGACCTGCATGGAGGAGCTTTGAAAATGTTTGTCTTTATAATGTTCAGCCCTTTTAATTTGTGAAATGGTTTAATCAAGCATCACCTTTCTCAAAGAAGGCAAATGTCAATTTAGAATACGGTGACTATATTTCTTTGGGGGGAAAAATACCTGGAAAACGGGCAAAATCTGAAAGAGGCTCATAAGGATTTTTTTAAAAAACAAAACAAAACCCTGATTGTTTATAACTTTACTTTGAAGGAAAATCCAAGAACAAAATCAAGAAAAACTTTACAAAAATGTTTATTCGAGCAAAATATCTAAAAAGCACAAAAAGCTATGAAGTTATAAGAAGTAAGCATAAAAAAGCTTTTATGTAATAAGTCTGCATTAAGTGGTACCATTTGTACAGGAAAAGTAAATGACAAAAAGGACAAAGGTGAGTTTTTGAAAAATAAATCTAAAGGACAATTTTCTGAAGTAAACAACTGCCCTTTATAGTAATTGACATATGGTCATTGTAGTTTAAACTAATAAGTAAAAATATCTCAATTAGGAAGGAACATATTTTAATTTTTTTAAATTTTTATTCTCTCTAGCCATTTGTTTCTACTAAAAGAGCCCAAAGAATATGTGTCATCTGTGAATGTGACAGTGGAGAAAATGTGTTGTCCTTCCAGTATTCATGCATATTTGTTTCAGTGTATTCTTTCAATAAGCTAAAGAGGAACCATCATCTATAACTCTCCTGCAACTGATTATGATGTAACCATTTGCTTACTGCAGAATTTTTCATAATGTCACATTATTATCTGTGTTTTTTAAAGTACAGCCTGAAAAATGCCTTCAGCAAACACAATTTCTGTTTCATAGATGATTCATCCTGTTGTCTCTTTGAAGGATAATCTTTGTATTATATTCAGGAGTTAGTTTCTGATGGTGTGAATTATATGAAATTGTTTAATATATTTGGTATTAAATCACAAATCACAAAACATGATTTTCTCACAAAAAAGTTAGGATGCGCAATTGCAAGTGATTTTGAGTTCAGTTTTCCTGGCAACAGTTTATAATTGGTCTGCTATTTTTTTTCTAGCTTTAAAAAAAAAAACTTTCCAGTCTAATATACAGTGCTGGTAGACTTCCTGGAAATCTCCCATTCTAGACTTGATCTTGTCTAACTTTCAAGATTTGATAAGATCAGCCTGCTATCTGTGCCATTTTGGGGAGAGAATACTTGTCAGAAAAAGTTAACAAGATGTGAAAAAACTGGATAGTAAAGAAGGGATAAATGGAGCACATGCATCCCTCAGCTTCCAGCTGCCCATTGTTGAATTAAACTTCATCAGGAAAATGCTTGCTCAGTAACCTGAGGGCCAAGGCTTTGTAGTTACCCACTTTTAGGAAAAAAAACAAGGCCATTTCCTCTCTCGCTAAATGCTTTCATCAGTTCAAGATAAAATTGGTCCTTAGTACTTTGGCAGCAAAAGGACAGGCAGTAAGGGAAATTAAAAATTAGCTGATATTTTCATTCCAAGTTCTGGGGTTCCAACTACTGGCACTCCTATTCATATTTCAACTGCTGCTGTTACTACTACTCAGTATCTCTCTTCAGTTTTTCTCAGTGGAAGCAAATCTATATCTTCTGTTTGTTTTCGTTGATACTGTTCTTGTATATTTGCAAATACAGGCAGCCCTCACTACTGCACTGAGCCCAAAATTTAACAACTGTTGCCACAGTTGTTAAATGAATCAGTGCACTTAGTAACTGCTGTGTTAGTAACATGGTTGTTAAGTGAAACTGACTTCCCTATTGACTTTGCTTGTCAGAAGGTGGCAGAAGGTGATCGCTTGACCCCAGGACAGTGCAACCGGCATAAATATGAGTCAGTTGCCAAGTGTCTCAATTTTGATCACTGACCAGAGAGATGCCTCAAAGGTCATAAATGTGACAAATGGTCATCAGTCACTTCGTTCAGTGCTGTAACTAACCGAACTGTTGTAAGTCAAGGAATGTCTGTAAAGCCATTTTTAAAAAATATTACAGTGATCTTTCATCCAAGTGACGCCAGTGCTGGAACTTCTTCATACTCAGATTGAGTAAACATAGCAATAGGTAAGCGCTCATGAAATTCCATGAGAAATATAGGAGTAGTTTTTTTTGGTGGGGGGGAATAGAATACATAGTAGAAGTGGAAAGTCAAACACAATGGCTGAATCATAGAATACAGAGGTGGTATTCAGCAGGTTCTGACCAGTTCTGGAGAACCAGTAGCGGAAATTTTGAGTAGTTTGGAATACCACCTCTGACTGGCCCCGCCCCCATCTATTCTCTGCCTCCTGAGTCCCAGCTGATTGGCTGGATCTTTTGTTGCCCTGCACAGGAGAACGGAGCTGGAAAGCAGGTTAGTGGGATGGGAAGAGAATGGGATTTTGCAGTATCCTTCCCCCAAGAGTGGGGAGGGAATGGGGATTTTGCAGTAACCTTTTCTTGGAGTGGTGTGGGAATGGAGATTTTACAGTATCCTTCCCCTGCCACACCCACCAAGCCAAATCAAGCCCACCAAGCCACGCCCACAGAACCGGTAGTAATTTTTTTTGAATCCCACCACTGATAGAATAGTTTAATTATTGTCTCCTTTGTTCTAGAAACATACGTAGTTTATTCAGTAAACCACAAATAAAGAAATCTTAGCTTATTGTATTGACTGAATAAACAATCAATTTTATATATTCAAAGCGGGAAAATGTCTGTATGATATACCTGTCTGACTGTTTACAAATTTGTTTGATAAGTGACCATGAACATCAGTAAAATATTTTTATTGGGCTTAAAATTAAGAATCCAGATTTTTCAGTACAAAATTATAGAAAAAGTGATTAAGAAATTCTATGTTGCAAGTAGATTTTTGATTCAATCATAACTATAAAGATATTTCCAAATAAACTAAGTAAAATGGTAGGAAATATATTAAGCGTGCACAACTTTTATAGCAAAACTTTGGAAAGAAATCTACACAACTATCAGTTGTAGATGACGGGGAAATTAAAATTCACCATTGTCTTTAATATACAAAATAAAAGCATTATTTAAAAAGCAGTTTTTTAAAGAGCAGATATTTTGCTTTTTTAAAATAATACAACTAGAAAGCTGCCTTTAGAACACTGAGTTTTCAATAGTAGAAAAAGGATACCAGAAAATGTGGAAAGAGATAACATGATTTTATGAAACAGTGAGTGATGAATAAATATTTAATAATTAAAAATAGTTATTCATACATTTTTGTGAAGGAAGGCAGATTTAATTTGTGTTTATCTTCTCTTGTATTTTTTGTGTTTTGAGTTTTTATATGTTGTAGATAAATAATTTAATCAGAATGAAATAAAGAATTAACAGCAGTAGGCACACATTTTTCTTGTGGGTAAATTATTTAAAAAACAAAACAAAATGCACACTGATATTTCAATAGTTTTATATTCTTGAAGAGAACACTCATACAGTTTCTGACTTTCCATTTTCCCATCTGATCACTTTGTTTTCTTCTTTCACTTTGCATCTTCAGCTTAGTTTCTTTTCATATGACAGCACATTTTTTCAATATTATTTGTTAAAAAGTAGTTTAGGGTGACTGATATTTTTTAGGATTCCTGTAAAAAAACAGGAGGAACATGAGGAAAATATAGCCCAGAAAAACAGATTAAAAAGTGTAAGAGAAAAAGAAGAGAGAGAGAGGAAAAAGCATCAAAGGGAAGTATGTGTGTATAGCCAGATTTGAGGATTTAGACAAAACTGACTTTCGTTTTCCCAGCTTTAGTCAACTATCTTTTAAAGTTGCTAATTAATGTTTTTAATAAGAACTATATCTGCTTACAAGCTAGTTTTCTTTTGTCCATTTTAAAGATACATGAGAATTGCTATCCCTAGGTGGAAAGGATAGTTTTTAAAACATCAATTGTATCTCAGTTATTTTGTATAACACAAAATAGCTATGATAGTTCTGTGAAAAACTATTTCAAAAGTAGATCTTATGGATGTTGAAAAACTGGGGAAAGCACTGTTTTGAAAACAAATGAACTCCTTGGCATGCATGCATTGAGAAGAATATATCAAAGAAATGGGTGTGTGGGTAGGTGTGAAATGCAATAGAGAACCTGAAGTACAGGAAAAATGTAAATTTTTGAAAGCTTAGTGACTTAAAGCAAAAATGGGAAAGAAAGGATAATCAGAGGGAAAATAGCTACACTGGAAATTGCTAAAGAATTTGAGAAATCCAGGATAGCAAGAAAAAGCAATGGTGTGGAAAAAGATTGGGGAAAGAAAAGAAAGATAATGAGGAAAGAGTCAGTTTTACTATCTATAGAAATGATCTGCAAATACAAATGTATGTAAATATATATATCCATATTTATTTTTATACAGTGGTACCTCAGTACTCATCATTAATTGGTTCCAGGAGGTGTGATGAGTACCAAAAATATTGAGTACCAAACCATTTTTTTCTATAATATAGTGAGTCACAAGGCAGACGAACATAATTCTAGCTTGTGCGTTGAGAACCAAACAATGAATGGTTGTGAGTTTTTAAAAATAGAATATTATAAATATGACTGCATGCAATGAAAATTAAATTACACAGAATTAAAATTCTAATTGATAGTCACAGACAATAATAAAAAAGATTAATGTTTCTATAACTTAGGCCCCAGATAAAAAGTGCCATCACCCCATTCAACTTCTATGAGCGAAATGCAAATAGAGATCCTGACAATAAAATTTGAGTACTGGGATGCTTTTTGTTACCTGATTAAGCAAGATACTAGGCACCTGACATATAATTCTTTTAATACACATTGTTAATGTCACTTCTTACTCCATTTGCATTCTATGTTTCCAATGCATACTGCGTATATAATCAGGAGCTCTATGTTATATACATATGTTTCATATGTTTCAAGGATTGGTTTTATAAAGATTTACAGAGATACACACATAGGAATAGGAATGTGGATTTGAATTACTGTTGTTAGAATCACAGAACATGAGTATTCAGAAGAAACTGTACTATCAAAAGAATTTACTAAGTAATGAATTTTGTTAATAAAGGTCATTTTGATTGGTTTTCTATCAATAACACAGTTTCAAATGTCAACAAAGTTTTAAGGGTGCTTTATGTCTTCACTGATTTTTCCCCCCTATCTCAGGCCTTTTCAGGAAATGCTGTCTCTCCCATGTTTTTTTCCATCTAAATGTCAAGCTGCCTCATCATGAGGATCATGTTGTAGTACTATGGGTTAGCTTCCATTATCTGATTGGCTTTTCATAAGCCTGCTTGTGAGTCACTGACTGGTTTGAAAAATTGGGGTTGGAGAGGGTGGTGGGGTTTGTTTGTTTGTTTGTAATTGAAAGGCAGACTTTTAATGCTTAGGAGTTTAAAATAGAGTTTCTGATCAATGTTTAATTAATGATGGATGTTTTTCTGATTTCTTTGCTTTTGCAGACAAAATGTGCTTGGGAATAATGAAGGTTGATGACCAATTTCCTAGTCACTAATTATGAAGTTCATGAATGAACCTTTGATAGAACTAATCATTTTCTGTATACTGATATGCATACAGATCCTAAAGCATGGTTGTGGCCTGTATAAAAACCTACTCCTGCTAATAAATTATCCTTCCTGGGTTAGGTTGACAGGCTAGAAAGTAATTTTTAGTAAAATTCTGAAGAAAACAGAGCAGACAAAAGTGAACATAGTTTTCAAGAGTTGGCAGATGAATGAAATAATAGAAAGAGAATGGGGTACCTTATCTTTCTATTTTAAAAGCTACTTAGCTATTATTATATATACCATAAGATGTTTCATAAGATTCACAGATAAATGTTTCCGAAATCACCCATATATTATATACAAGTATCTGATAGTATGCGTGGATCAGTATTTCTCAACCTCTGTGTGAACTTCAACAACCAGAATTCTCCAGCCAGCATAACCATTGCTAAGAATTCTAGGAATTTAATGCACTCATATCAGAGTTGCACAGATTGTGAAATACTGCTTTAGATGAAGAGAAAGGCTGCTGATGTCATTCTCTGAGTACATCTGTGATTTTGGTTCAATTTGAGTTAATGAATTGGATAGAATCTACATGTTCAGAAGCCTTCTTATTGAATCTTCATTGCTCAAATTTTACAGATGAAAATCATACAAATTTGATTTACAAACACTGGATAATGTGACGGTTCTGCCAAGTGGAAGCAAAATTCCAGCTCCACACTGTTTCAAAGTTGTGTACTGTAAGCACAACATATAAGAACATGTATTCTTTATTGAATAGTCAATCCTAAGAATAATAATTTTAAATGGCACCATTGATAATTGTGGAGGAAAAAAAATGAGGAAAGGCATTCTTTAGAATTGCAGTAATTATTGGGTTTTTTATTTTTGGCTTTGGTTGCTTAAAATGATTCTTGTGCTGAAATATTATGGAAAGTTTAAATATACTCCAAATTTAAACTGTCAGGCAGAACACATGAATAACATGTCTGGGAACGTCAGTTAGACTACCATGCCTCCAGAAAAGCCCAAATCCAGCCAGAAATTTTAAATACTCAAAATGTCTGATGTGGTAAAGGGCTTCAGAATCAGGTTCTTGCTTCTGCTCAGATGTAGGCCTTAAACCAGTCATGTAATTATTAGTGGTTGCCTGGTTGCAGTTGACAGTTAAAAACTGTGGTTGGCAGTGACAATGGTGACAATGAAAAGACGCAGGACTTAATTATGAGGTTACTTCGGTAATTTAATATACAAAGATCCAGGTAGTTTCCACAGCCTGATTCAGCAGATGAAAATTTTGAGATTGGGGAAAGAGGCTTTGTTCTCCAGGTACAAAAGGAGAATAGTGAGAAGTTTATTGTTCCCAGTCTTGGGAGCATGAGGTTAAACTAAGTGGATAATTTTGGGAGAGAAAATGATACACACAAGGCAGAATCAATCAGAATAGAGCTGGGAGGGACCTTGGAGGTCTTCTAGTCCAACCCCCATTCAAGCAGGAGACCCTATACCATTTCAGACAAGTGGCTGTCCAGTCTCTTCTGAAAGACCTCCAGTGATGAAGCACCTTCTGAAGGCAAGCGGTTCCACTGGTTAATTGTTCACACTGCTAGAAAGTTTCTCATTAATTCCAGGTTGCTTCTTTCCTGGATGAGTTTCAATCCATTGTTTCTCGTCTTGCCTTCTAATACTTTGTAAAATAAGTTGACCCCCTCTTCTTTTATGGGAGTCCCTCAAATACTGGAAGACTGCTGTCATGTCACCCCAGTCCTTTTTTCCCTCTAGACTAGTCATACCCAATTCCTCCAATTGTTCTTCACATGTTCACAGGCCTTTAATCATCTTAGTTGCTTTTCTTTGCACTTTTTCCAAAGTCTCAACATCTTTTTTCTATTGTGACCAAAACTGGGTGCAGTCTTCCAGGTATGGTCTTACTAAGGATTTATAGAGCGGTACCAATAATTTCACATGATTTTGATTCTATGCCTCTGTTTATACAACCACGGATTACATTAGCTTTTTTGGCTGCTGTCACACACTGCTGGGTCATGTTTAAGTGATCATCCATTAGGACTCCCTCTCACAGATACTGTTTTTTGAGCCAGGTTTTGCCTAATCTACTTATTTATTAATATTTAGGATTACTGAAGGCTGCCTGGGACACCAGAATTGGGGATGGTCAAGTATGGTCTTGTGCTTTCTCAAGGTGGATAAGTGGGCTTGACGGATAAGAAGTCTGATAAAGGAATATTATATTAAAGATAAAGGAATGATAAGTTCACGTAGAAAGCTATTGTTTCATTTCTCTCTGGGTAAATAATGAGTTACGGTGTAGAAAGGATAATTGTTGTTGATGCTGTAGTTGTGATGATAAAATGTGCTGTGAAAAAGAATTAAAACCAGGAAAGACTGGTGAGGGAAGAATGCATCAATCAGTACCACAAGGGAATATTATGGGACTGGAATAATGGAAGGAATAGAAATGTAGAGGAATTGAAAGGATCCGAGACTTTCCACAGGAAAAATGGGTAGGTAGATATCATCTGTGTTAATATTCCAAGCAAAGGCATGGGTTGAGGAAGTTGGACCAACTGACTAAAAATGTTGTTCAGATCAGTAACTGAATATGTCCTCTTTATTGTACTTTAAGGTTTAGCAGTCTTAATACTAGTAGTGTTCATTTGATTTTACTCAGAATAAAATATACAGTCTGTCATGCAAAACACTTCTGGCTTACATGCAATGTTAAATGTATATTAGATACGATAAAAAGTGCAGTAAGAAATAATAAATGTAATAAAACCAGTACCCATGAACAATTTTAGAGGCTTCCTAAAATGCCAAAGCAAATTTAAAATTCATCATGTGCTTAAATTGTAATAAAGCCAGTGCACAGCCTATTTCTAAGAGAGACTGTTCTATAGAATGAGTGCTATAACAGAAAAGGTTGCCTGCTGATGCCAAACATAAATTCACGGGACATTGCCCAACAACAAAAGCTTCTAATGATTTCAGTGGCCTATTAAAGATATATAGGAAGAAATGTTTTCTGTGGGGAAGCTCAGGACTTTATAAATGATTAAGAATTCTTAAGGCTGCTGCCTTTCACTCTAGCTGAAGCTTCCAGACTATGCAGAAAGATGCCATACCAAATTGCATTACAGATAGTCCTCGACTTATAGCTGTTTTTTTAACAACAGTTCAAAGTTACGATGGCTTCAGAAAAAGTGGTTTATGACCTGTCCTTGCACTTATGACCATCGCACCACCCCTGTGCCACGTGATCCCAATAGGGGCGTTTTTGGAAACCAACTTGCATTGGTGACCAATTGCAGCATTCTGCGGTCATGTCACGATTTGCAACCTTTCCAATCTGCTTCAGGCAAGCAATATATCAAGCTGGGTTGCTTGATGAGCGTGTGAGTTGCTTAATGACCATGATAAAAACGGCGATAAGCGGGTCTGATCACGTGATGCCTCGCTTTTCACCAATTTTAACGATGGAAATCCTGGCCCCAGTTATGGTTGTAAATTGAGGACCACCTGTAAGTTTTTCTCACTTTAAGTTACTACTGAATAAATAGCTAAAGGTAATTCAGGAATAGTTACTGCATATAAGGCAGAGGTGGTAAAAATGTTTTTATCACTGCAAGATCTTGATACTTTCACAGTTGCATAATTCTGAGAGCAGTTTTAAACTGAATATTCCTAATTCTCTACTGGGGTACAAAGCTATTTTTTTAACCTGGAAACTGCCTGTTCCTAAGAGCTTTCCAGGGTTCCAAGACTTTGCCTGCTGGCCCTAATCCACTTTGATATGAAGTTTATTCCTACCTGAAGATTGCAGTCGTTTTTCACTTCTGGTAAAAGGTGCCCTTTCCCTGCAAGCAATAAGGACAATCAAAACTAGTAAGATTTTATCCTGAGAATTTAAGGAAGATTTCTAAGTTTTCTATGATTTCTAAGCTGAATTACACACAGCAACAAATAGATATTGCTTTTATTAAACAAAGCAGGGGCATTTGAAGTAGGTAACAAAAATCAAAGTTGTAATGGCTTTGAAGGAATCAAGTTCCATATTTTGCCACAAGAAGAGTTCATAGTATGTGGGGAGCTGGCTTACTCATCTTTTCAGTGCTGTTTCCTTACAAATTTCTCTGATTCACCTCAACGATGTTGGAATCTCTCCCAAACCCACGATAAGAATTGTTGCTGATTTAAATGTTTTCTTCTGTTCGTATAGCTCAGGGGTCTTCAAATTTGACAGTTTTAATAGTTGTGGACTTCAACTCCCAGAATTGTTCCTCCAGTCATGTTAGCTCAGGAATTCTGAGAGTTTAAGTCCACAAGACTTAAACTTGCTAAGTTTGTAGACCCTTGGTATGGCTGTTTATTTAGGGGGTTTAAAAAAGTTGTAGGCCTCTTTGCAGTGTGATAAACAGTTGCAGAAGAAGAACACGAGGCTATTCATTTGATACTTGCTCCATATTAAGATGCTTTTGCCCAATTTACTACTTCAGGTAAGCTACATTTGGATGGGCACTTCTATCATTGCTTTGCAGAATTATATCAATTTGTAGAAATATTCATATTGTGCAGTTTCAAACTCCAATACAAATTCCTTTCTCTGCAGAAAATGTGAGATTCTAAATTGTTCATGTCAGCTAGAGATTATGGGAGGTGAGTTTCAAATAATTGGGGGCCATCAGATTGGGGAATGCTGCTGTATTTTATTGCATTGTTTGGGTACATTTTGTTTAATTTTTTTTCCAACTGCAAGTTAAAAGAATATTAATAAATTTGAGATTGTACAACTAGTAAATGTTAGATAGTTGCTCTGTTAAAATAGTTACTTATGTAATGCAAAATGTCCATTGTTCAAAGTTGATAATGTGAATTTATTACCTTAGTCACCTTAGTTTTAGAGTTATATTACTTTCATTTTAGACATTCAGATGTAGATTTATCTTTTGGTATTTTCTTCTTTGTGTTCTAGATCAAAATTTGAAATCCTATGGTTCACCATCCCTCTAGTGTGCTTAATAAATGGGGTCTTAGGACCAAGGAATATGTAAAGTGCTCCAAAGGCTGCATTACAAGCCAGATGTACTGGTATAAAAACTCTATGCTGAATCAGAAGATGGAAAATATATGTATTGTACGTATGCCTGCATATGTCCTTATATGTGTGTGTGCGTGCGTGTGCGCGCACACACACATCAATCTGTATTTACTTACCTAGATTTTTTCTTTCTGATAGCTGTCCCGATTAATTCTTGACTAAATTTGTTTTGTTTCATTGAGTCTGCATGGGGCTGTTTCATGTAGCTGTCGGAAGAAACTATTGTTTGGCTCTTGTTCTGAAATTCTGCAATAGAACCCACAACATCTGAATAGGTGACACGCTTGGAAGATGCTTTCTTACTGAGTTCTGTTGACTCTTGACTGACTGGTTGATTTGTAAGAGGTTCTACTGTGTTTTTTTCCTGAGGAAGAAAGAACAAGAAAGCATACAGAATCAGGCCATATGTAGCAAAACCTGAACACCTGGTATAAAACTCTGTACAGTAAAACTACCATGAGTTTCTGTGAATTTGCTGTGGAGATGATTCAGAGTGCAACCTAGAATATTTAACCCAAATATTTCCCTGTAGATTGGGAAGAATGAGAGGCACAAAATGACAAGCAGAAAAGAATACATGAAATCACATTAGCAATATTTTAATAGGTTTTAAACTATTATTAAATTTAATATTTGTAAGTATGATTTCTGTCCCAAAGGTCTTTTTCAAGAGGCAACTGGACTTTCTGGTTTTTCTTTGAAGACGTTTCACTTCTCATCCAAGAAGCTTCTTCAGCTCTGGAGCTGCCTCTTGAAAAAACGCCTTTGGGATAACCATAACCTGCATGACTGAGAATTTCCATAGATAAGTATGATTTATATTTAAATGTATTGTCACAGAGCATATTGTAACATTGATTTACTTTAAAAGATTCTGCTGTGCAGCTTATTCTTTTTTGCATTTTTCTTGTCACTACATGTAATAATTTCAGTTAAATGTATATAACTGCACACTAAATCCAGTTATTTGGACTTAAAAGGTCTGTGGATTAAGATTTAAGATGTCATTATTTTTCATTGCTTTTCAGAGATGACATGGTTTCTCTCGCATAGAAGTTAACCACGTGGTATGCAGCTAATTCTAGATTTTTTCAAATACTTGCATTAAGGACACCTTATGCTGATGTCACAGCGTCCTGATCTTGTATCATTTGTAAGCAGCCTGCTTTATGCTGGCTGCGGACTGACAGTAGAAAAGACATTGAAAAAAAAAAAGATATCCTCTCCTATGGAACCTCCCTAGAATAGCTCTTGAAAAGTGTATATTTTATATCATGTTTAAGTTCATACTATATAGGCTGCAGAATCCTTAAGATGTAACATTCCAGGCTTTTGGCTGCCTATTTTTCAGTCATCGAGAGCCCCTGGCTGCAGATCATGTGTGAAATGTTCAAGTCTAGCAACACTTTTTTTTTTTTTAATTGGGTGACATTTTTACTAGTGGGATGTGGGATGTATATTATATAATGCAACAGTCAAATGTCAATTTTGCCACTCTGGAAAATGTATTATGTAGTTGAATTATTGAATTGAAATGTAGGATTTGAAGAAATAGAACATTTTTATTGATTCATCCACAACATAAAATTTCTCCAGGATTTTAAATTTTTTTCTATTACTTTCCATGCCTTTTGTCTATGGAGATTCTCAGTTATCTAGGTCATGGTTGTCCCAAAGGTACTTTTTCCAAAAGACAACTGGACTTTTTCCTTGAAGAACGGAAGAAATTTTTGGGATGAGAAGCGAAACATCTTCAAGGAAAAACAAAGAAAGTCCAGTTGCCTTTTGAAAAGGAACCTGTGGGATTGCCATGCCTTTGTGTTACACATGAAATACCTTAGGAGTTTTTTTTTAATTGTACAGCAATTAATTGTGATATATAAAATTGCCCAATATCAAATGTTTCTGAATTACTTCAGTGTGTATGATACCTTGGTTTCTTTTACATGTGCAATTGATTTGAAAACTGTATGACACCGCAAAATGTGTAATTTGCTCTGGATGACTATATTCTCTTTCAAGATTTCCTTTTGTCATGATCATTTTTCAGGCAGGGATTCTTAAGGAATGAATTATTTAGATTCCATCTTTCTGTCTATCTATATTTTTATCTTAGCAGTTCAAAAATTTTCTTCTGCTTAAATAGGAATTTGGGCCAGGCCAACCCACTAACCAATAATTTTATTAAGCAATGTATGCTTGTATCTCCCAATCTTCTCTGAAGACTTGTAAGACTATTTCAGAGCAAAGCAATAAAAGCATAGCAATGTTTTTTTTTCTTCACACCAGTTTTTAGAAACATCAAAAAAATTAAAGGTCAGTTTATATGTAAGGTACTTTCCCTAACATGGTAAAGTGAACAAAGAATTGATATCGAAGTCACTTTTTTTAAAAAAAATCAACTTTACAAAAATACCTATTTTATTGAACAGTTTTGGTATATGTGGTGTTTGACTGCTCAGGGTCTCATTTCCAACAATATTCCTGGCTTGTGAAGTAATGTTGGGTCTACCCAGTATATGCTTACTTGTATTCCTGTTTTATTCCCGATGGCTTTATTGTCCTCCTGGGTTTCAAAATCCTTATAAAGAGTATTAATTGAAGGCCCTTCAGATTTAGATTTCAGCAGATTGATGAGCCGCACCCACTGAGAGAATATCTCACTCTGCCTCTGTGGTGAAGCGCAGAGTTCTAGGTAGTAGGAGCGACCATTCACCAACTTCAGCTTCAGCCGTCTCTTATTAGCAGAGTGAACGGAGAGATCTACAAACTGCAAAGGCAAGAACCTGCAACAAAGTTGTCACATCAGTGTCAGAAAGGTAACATTTTAACAATTCATTACATTGAACAGGACAGGTTTCAAACAGATTTAATTATTGATTTGGATTGCCTGTAAACAAACATGTACAAAAGTACATTTTATGAAGGAAGACTGGCAACAGGAGTGCATATAATAGAAAGAAGCCATTGAATAGTATACGTAATCCAGACAGGTTTTCCAACTTCTTGAATGGTAAAATAAGAAAAAAGTAACAATGCAAAAATGCATAACATTTTAAGGTACATTTCTAGTTTTGCACTATCTGGCACTCTAATTTTATAATGTTCCATGTATGTCCTTCACTGCATTACATTGGTGCCAGTTTCCATTTGGGTGACACCTCATCAGTGCTATGTTACTTGTTACTTGCTTGGGCCATTTAGATACCGTATCATCTAGACCTGGCCTGTCGAACCAGGCCCGTCAAACTGGCAGGTGGATGCCTGTGAGGCTTGATGCCTCATGTGCAGGCCATACATACCTACCCTGGCTCTGCAAAGGCAAAAAACATCACAATACATCACAATACGTCATGTGACGCAATTAAGTTTGACATCCGTGATCTAGACTATATTTTTCTATTTTATTAAGAAGAACATCATCAGAAAAAACAGATATGGTTTGGAAGTGGTTTGTCATTGCCTGCTTCCTAAGGCTGAGAGAAACTGACTGGCCCAAAGTCACTCAGCTTCATTTGTGTCTAAAGTAGGAATAAAACCCACAGTCTTGCGTTTTCTAGCCTGGTGTCTTAACCACTAATTTTATTTTATAACATAGGTTACTACTAATGATTACTGCTACAAATATATATATATATTTGTATATATACTAATGATTACTGCTACAAATTATATATATATATATATATATATATATATATATATATATATATTATATCACACAT